TACGGACGGGACAGCCCGGGGCTGCACGAAGAGGACGGGGTGCTCTCCGCGAACGGGGGGGTTCTGTGCGCGGGGTGCGGAGAGGAGGCGCCCGGGCCCGGGGCGCGGGACGGGGTGGGGGATGGCGGTGAGGGGGGGGGCGTGGGCGAGGGGGGGGAGGGGGGCGGTGGGGAGCGGGGGAGGAAGAGGGGGAGGGATCCGACTGAGGAGGAGGTGGTGGGGGTGGAGGGCGGGGAGGAGGGGGGCATGTTTGGGGAGATGGGGGATCGGGGGGGGCGGGTGGAGGAGGGCGGTCCATCGGGGGGAGGGGGTGGAGGGGGTGAAAGTCGGCACCCGAGGAAAAGAAACAAAACGCAAGCGGCCGGGCTGGACTAGCCGAGTGTGCCACGTGTTTTGCGCGCGTGCGTAGTACGTCTTGAAGTTGCTTTGTCGGCTGTGGGTGTAGTATGTCTTGAAGTTGCTTTGTATGCTGCTGGCGATTCGCATCTAGGGCTACTGGCGTGGAGCTCTCGAAAGCCCCTCGCGTCGTGCGTCGAGTTGAAATCGAGACTGCAGTCCGTCCCCATCGCCGAGAGGAGCGCGAGCAGCGTGCTGACCTTCCCGCTACCGACCCAGCCCTCGTGGTGTTGGACGTGTGCCGTCATGTCGTACACCTGTGCAACCCGCGTGGTGCGAGTGGCCGAGTGAAAAGAAATCCCTCGCTGCAAGAATTCCGGAAAACGGCGGCAAAAGAAACCCGAGCCAGCTGAAGCCGCCCCGGTTTGGCCCTCCTGGAGGCGCTCTCGTTCTAGCGTGTTGTCTCAAGGGATGTCCACCGGCTGCTGCAACGAGGAGCAGCAGTACTTCCTGGTCACCATATTTGCGTACTCTGGCGCCGTCCTCCTGCTCTGGCGCGCCCTCGTCTTCAAGCCGTTCAAGCTCTTTGCGGTGGCTCTGCACGAGTTTTGCCACGCGGCGGCGGCTGCCGCGCTCCACAATCACATGACCAGCATCGCCTCGTACAAGATCCCGAGGGCGGGCTCGCCTCGTACAAGATCCCGACGAACCGGGTGCGGTGCGTACGTGCGTTCGTTCTCCCCGCCGGTTACGTCGGGTCGACCTGCTCGGCGACGCGGAATTTCTTTTGGCCGGCTTCACGCTACCACAATGCCGCACTTTTTGCTCAGCCTCTCCATCCTCGCACACGTCCTCGGCCCGTCGCGGCCGCCCTCAGCCAGCGCTCGAGCAGCTGCGCGCCGGGCGACGGCTCTGCGCGCGGCGGAGCCAGCCGAGGAGCTCGATCGCATGTTCTTCGACCGCGCCGAGCTGTTTGTGCGGAGCGGTGCTGGCGGCGTCGGCGCCGTCTCGATGAACGGGCAGCGGCCCGTGGGTGGCAACGGCGGCGCGGGCGGCGACGTGGTCCTCCTGTGTGACGGCTCCCTCAACACGCTCGGCCACCTGCGCGGCCGGGCGTCGGTGCGCGGCGATCGCGGCGACGACGCCCGCGGCAAGGAGTCTGGCCGCAGCGCGAGAGAGGCGATCGTGCGCGTGCCTCCCAACTGCCGCGTCTCCGAGCTGGAGAGCGGCGACGCCGTCGGCGAGCTGCGCGAGCCGGGGGAGCGGCTGCTGATCGCCGCCGGCGGCCAAGGCGGCGAGGGGAACGGAGACGGCTACCGACGGACGAGGGATTCGCGCCGCAACTACCCGCCCGGCGGGAGCACGCGCGCGCGCCTGCTGCTCTCGATGACACTGGTGGCGGACGTGGGGCTGATTGGACACCCGAACGCCGGCAAGTCGACGCTGCTGAGGGCGGCGACCCGCG